TCCCTGTGTGTGTTCGTGCGTGTGTGTATATAGAGAAGGAGGGGGGCAATTTTTCCGTGTATTTGTAGCGTTGTAAATTTGTGAAAATGTAACAAAGACTAATACTTCCAACAATTGACAGACCTGAGCTCTCATCAGAGAGAACAACCTGCATCAATATAAAATCATACAGCATTTTATAATACCCAGAAAATCGAAACTACAACATTTGCGGAGTATGGCGATTTTTTTTTCCAGTTGTCTGGAGTTGGGAATAAGAAGATGTCAGTGATGTTAAATGGTTTAGATATATGTATGTAGTGTCCCAAAAATATGTGTACACATTATAATACGGAATATTAGCCTTGTTATCGATCTCTGTGCGTTGTTTTTATGAGGGGAACCTTGTGTGGTCTGCACATAACAGATGGCACCTCGCTATATTTTCCCATGATTCACATACCCAAAATGTTGGAGGGTCGGTTGAGTGTCCTCAGGATCACCAGATTTAATCCCGCGGTTACTTGATGGACTTGGTGTACGGCACAAAGCCAGCGACACTTTAAGAACTCTGCCAAGGAATTGAACTGTCTTGCGCGGGCATCCCAGCAGCAAATTTGGTGGCCGCTTGGCAGTTGCTCGTCACTATGAACTGTGGTCATTTTGAACTCCTACACCACATTTGCTAATTCACTGACTGTCGTTGGGAATGTACGTAATTATTTAGTTTATTAAAATGTTTGTATTGCTTTCATTGAATATGTTTATGCAACTTTTTGGGACAGTCTGTGCATGACTTTCCATCTTGATTTTGATCATGGCGTGTTCTTCCTAACTTGTGCATTATTTTAATGTATCAAGAGATTTGCAGCATATTTATGTGTGTTTAATAGGGACAAACAATTGATGACATCCCCACAGCAGTATTGGAAGATGCGGCCCAGTTGGTGAAAGCGAACAGCATTCAAGGCAGTAAGATGAATGATGTCGATGTAGTTTATACAATGTGGACAAACCTGAAGAAATCAGATGGAATGGAAGTTGGACAAGTTGGCATCCACAAAGAGAAGGAGGTAAGTACAGTGAAGAGCACAGGCATGGTGTTTGTACCTGTCTGAAATATTACAGAATTTGGCTTTTATTGATGATGTGCACACCAGAATGCAGCACTTCAGAATTAATAGTAGTTTTACCAGACAGAATTTCATAGGCCCTCCAGTTTCATCATTTCCTCTCCACCTCTGCCTTAATTTAGTTTGTCCTTCATGTGTGTCATCTGCTCCTGGGTTTTCATTTCCAATAATAATTTGGTATTCCATGCTAACCATTCTTTCTACATGTCAAACCATCCGATTCTCCTTCTCTTGATTTAATTCCGTGTTGAACTCTACCTTAATGTAGACCTACTACTGACTGTCCCTTGCTTGGCACTGGCAGTCGATTGGATGTACAGAGTTTGAATCAGCTTTCTGTTTCCATTTGTCTTGATGATGATGTTGCTTCTCTGCGCTGCTTTATTAGATCAGGCAGGGAAGTGTTTGAGTGTCTTCTCATTCTGTGATGAAACTGATTGTTTTTATCCATTTTGTTGGTCCAGAGAGTCTTGAGATTAGTGTTGTGTTAAGAGGCCACAAACAGTTTGAATGTGAAGTTGACCGCTGACCTCCATCTGATACTTACGTCTGCAATCCAGGGCTGTGGAGTCGGTAAAAATGTACCGACTTATACTTAAATATAGGTTAGAAGTCTAAAAAGTGGCCTGATGATTCACGTGGTGGTGGTGGTGAAATGTCTTATCATACCATTTACCATTTTAGTAGGTGTGCCATTATCGAGCTTTTATGAAGGAGTCGGAGGTTTTGTGTACCGACTCCATAGCCCTGCTACAATCTCCATACGTCTTGGTGACACGGTGTTTGATTGGTTAACGTTGTTAATGTGTGTAATTGAACTATATACAGGTAAGGAAGATACGGGTAGCAAAGAAGAGCAATGATATTTTAAATCGTCTTAGCAAGACAAAAAAAGTGACTGATCCAGACTTGCGTGCAGAGAGAGAGAGAAGAGACAGAGAAGAGAAAGAAGACAAGAAGCGACTTCTAAGGGAACAACATGAGAGAGAGAAAGAAGAAGAGAGAAGAAAGAAGGAGAATGCAGAATTAAGGTAATTAATAGGAAAGTCAGTGCATTTATTTTGTATACTTGATTTATTAGGGTGTCTATATTTAAGATGTGTGAAGTGATAACTTTAGTAAATTTAGAAAATGTTCCTAACCCATCATTTTCCTGTTCCAAGCTGTCTTACTTAAAATCAGGAATATAAAATAAATATTTAATCTTTTTCATTCAATGAAGGCTGTTATGTTTTCTTGGACTCTGCTATATGAATTGTGCAGATTACCAACCACATCATTTGTTCGCCTTTGTGTGTGCCAGGGGAGCAGATAGTTTCACTGCATAAAAAAGTGACTTTGGGAGTATGTGATAACCTCAGTAACTTAACTTATCTCACAAGAAAAACAAACACTGATCTTCAACTTACATGCAGGGGATGAAAACATGGTTTAAAACATTTGGTTGTGTACGACTTGAAGCAAGAATTCAGTGGAAGAGATTGAAAATTCAAGAACAAGACAATTTATTGAGTAAGATTGGTTATCATTAGAATTGAAGTGCACTTCTGGTATGGAAAAAAATTCACATTAACTTTGATCATCAGTCAACAATATGTATTACAGTTTGTGTGAAATAACACAATTGACTTATTGAATTAACATTTGTCGACCATGTGTCATGGCTTGTGCATGACAAAGCTTGCCACGCATCACACTAGCATGCCACTAGAGTTAAATTCCAGCCAACAGCCGTCTCTTATGGTGGTTTAAATCTCCTGTTTCCACACAGTGAAGGTTAACCACCTGATAGATACAAGTGAATGATACGGTTTGAATTAATTAGGTATTATTAATGTCACAAAACCTCATAAATGGCTTGTTAAATGTCAGCAGGCTCCCCCCAGCATCCCCTCATAGCAAGGAAAAGCAGCTAGTCTGCTATGTGGGTATGTATCATCCCCCCCCCCCCTCCTTGCAGATGATGTTCTGGTATGTTTGGCCACTTTCTGAACACAGCTGGACAATCCTAAATTTTATGCAAAGAATTGGTGACCTCACACAGTCACTGGTGTATCCTAACACTGGAGAAATTGCATGAAGAGTGCAGTGGATTAGCCTTCATGAAGGAGCAAACGTGAGAAATGGAAGTCTTAGTATGTAGCGTCTTACATCCACAATGAGGACCAATGTGAATTAAAAAAATAATAAGAGGATTGAAACAATAATCAACAGAGAAGAATAATTTCAGATGTTATCCTACCGGTGTGTTTCAAGTACAGTAAAATTTAATTGTATTGTTTGAAAGAAGTCCAGCTTGAGGGAACACGTGGAATCAGGGAAATTGTTACATCATGTTAATTTTCCATGTAGCATTTCTCTAAGAGTTGTTGCAGAAGGTTGTTTTAAAATTTTCCATACATTCCCAAAATTCTCAAATCTTTTGTTCATTTTGAAGCAAATGTTTGAAGTGATTACACCTGTGTTGACTGTTCATTGCATTAAGTTTCTTGATTTTTTTATTTTCATTTTTACAGAAGCTATAGTACGTTGATGAAGACTGAGAACATGACAACCAACACTTCAGGGGATGGCAATGATTCAGATGACTTCATGTGAATTAGTGGATCAGGTGTTATTATACTCATGGGCAGTGTCTGGTTCAAGTTCATGGTACAGCACAAAGCATCTCTTCAGCTCCTGATTATGTCACAGACATAGATGTGAACATAGTTGAGGCAAATTGTTGACTTGAAACTTAATGTAAAAGGAATAAATTACTATTAATATTTGCCATGCATTTTTTCTTTGGCCTAACAGGGCACTTAAAATACCTCTTTTTGAATTAAAAGATATGGTGTCACAATTGTATCCAGACCAGGATTCAGGACAAGATTGCAGATCAGGAACCAACTGTTTGCAAAATACATTTTGTTTTATTAAAAACAGTGCTAATCAGAATAGCTTTCAGATGATATTACGTGGGAAACAGATGTATGAGACAAGAACATGGCTTTACAGGACCCATTATTGGGTTGGATTGTAATACAACTGGTGTCAAGAATGATTCTCCTCCCATAGAATGCACCAAACCCTTCCTTGCTTTCTTTTTAAATAAGAAATGGAATCATCTGTACTGCCATTAGTATTCCATCCTGCAAGTAGCAGCCTGCCACCACAAGGTACCACAGGTGAGATTAAAGTTTTCGATGTTCATATTCTCTACAGGGGGTACAGTACTAAACGTCTTTCTTTTCTAAAGGATTTATTCAAAACCTACTTGTTCAGTTAAATATGCCGAGAGTGCAACTGTGTTCTCCTGTCACCCGCTACAGAATAAACCAACAGTAGGATCTAACGACAAAGCTGGTAAATATATGTACTTAAATCCGTGATACTTGAGGCGTACTACAATCCCACAGAGCATGTCCTTCTCAAAGGACACTTGTTTTACGCAGTAGGGCTACATTGCACAGAAACGCAAGATATTTTATAAAATCTACAATTTCTGCAACTGAATGATTCATTCGATTGAGCCCATCATCCAAAATCAAATCCGTACCTGTGTCTAGATTAGTTTCGACATGCGCAGTTCTTAGCGACTAGCGACATTTTTCGCGTTTAGTGTATATTTTGTTTTAGTCTATAACTCTATTACGCTGCGGATAGATGTCGCAAACAATTTTTTGATAGTCGGCAACATCAAAACACCGCAAGTAGCATGCAAAGTGATGAGTTCTCTAGGTTTGTTGCATTGTGTAATTTTTGCAAGTACTTACAAGTGTTGAAAAATGCCGGTAATAGGAAAGAAGACAGCACTTCGCTTTCAGATAAAAGCAAAGTGTAAGGTGTCTAAAGCACGTTCAAGTTCAATGGGTGTAATACACCATGAGGTAGATACGCCAGTTTTTATGCCAGTTGGCACACAGGTAATGACAACCACAATTAAAAAAATGTAAATTTTTTGTAACTTTTATATCCCATTGTTCATCAGAAGTACATCGAAATGAAGAACTGGCCTCGGAAATATGGTAATTGGATGTGGCTGTATTACATTTTATTTGAGGAAAGACAGACTTCCTGCCTTTTCACCTCCTTCATCTTTTCCCCTTTTTAATATCTCACTTTTCATTGTCGTTTATTTCTGTGTAGACGGACTGTTAAGATATTTTTTGTAGAAAATTAACTTAGGTATGAGCTGGGGTAGCTAAGTCAATGTAGTGACTGGCTACGGACTGGACGATTCCCTGACAGGACAAAGGATTTTTCCTCTGGCCACTTCGTCCCAGCCTTCTATACAGTGGGTATTGGGTCATTTCTCAGGGGTAAAGTGCAGCGGGTGTGTGACTCTTAACCACTCACCCCCATCTAGTGCCAAGGTTAAGAATGAGTAGGAGCTATACCTCTCCCCCCAACCGTGTGCATGGCATATAGTGGGACAGCTTTACTTTGCTTTATTAATATAAGTATTTCCCAAGTTTTTGGATGTGGTAGTAGGTCACAGTGTTTGTCACCACTGAGGAAACAGTTGAATGTGTTATTCCACTAGAAGTCACTAGACTTTGAGAAAATTTGTAGTTGCATTGTTCTTTCCCGAAGTTTTTTATTTTCAAGATCATTGTGCAACATACAGTTGTAAAACAAATTTGGCAAGTTGTACTGAATCAGAGGTCAGAGAATCCCCTGAAACCAGAAAATATATAAGGGCTTTTGTTAATTAACACAGCTAGTTCCATAAGTCCTTGTCACATGCAGCAAGTACCTAGGAGGCTGTAGAAACCTAAACATATAGTTTGATGTAAAAAACAAACACTTGAAGAATTGTGGAATAGTGTGTAAAAGTGACAGTAATAATAGACATCAGGATATACAAAACAAGATTCTGGGATGCTGCACAGAATTTAATCTTGTTAACACACTGTTCTTTGATATTATCCAGTTGTAGGTGACACATGTGAGGATTTACATGTAAATTCCCTATTATTTATAGGATAACAACAGACTGGTGAAAATTAGTGGCAGTTGTGGAATCTTATGCTGACCACAAAGAAAATATAATACAAAAACATTACATCTTTAAGAAGCACAGTTATAAGGCATTGGCTGAAATAAGTTGTCTAAAGATCAAGAAGGCACAGTCTAGTGTTGAAGAGTGTTCAGTACTTTATGACATTTCAGAAAACTTTATATTTGTCACACCAGATTAGATTCTGTCATAGCATTGGGTTAACAGTCAAGCAACACTTCATCCTAAATTCATTTTGGAGATGATAGTGACAATTTTCAGAATAGAAGTGTTTGTGTAATCAGCTATTTGTTGGAATATGACACTGTGACTGTATATGCATTTGAAAAGAAAGTTCTAGAAAATATAAAGCTTCATCTCCGTAGTGTAAATCAAGTGACTTATTTTATGGACAGTCACCTAAAAATACTTTAACATAGACGCAAAATGGCACTTATTTGCTGCTACTTAGATAAAAGGGCCATTTGACGGAGTAAGTAGAAGTGTCAATATGCATGTGAGAAGGGCATCTTTACAACGAGTTGACAAACATTTTCACTGGGTGATATGTTCAGCTACTGTATGGTAAACATTACAGGAATGCAATATACTTGTGTACACAGTAAAGACATCGAAGGCAAAGAAGTAAAACTTGTTAATATGCATGTGACAATAGCACAGAATATCAAAGGGCATTGTTTTATTTCAACTGTAGCCAAGAAAATCAGAATAGAGTATGTGTCAAGTTGCATGGAGTATACATTGGTCAGCATATCAGGTGTTTGTCTTAAAATACTTACAGTTGAGACAGAAAGAAAGTTGGCATCTACGTTACCTATGTCCACTACAGAAAATGGTGGTTTGCTGTAATCGAGCCTTTGGTAGTTTGTCTCTTAGTAATTTACCCCGTATTTAAATAATTCTGGTGGTAGGGATTGAGTCCTGTACTCTTTGCTAACCTTATAACCGTTTCTAAATCTTCTTGGCCAATTTTTTCTATGTTCTCATCTGTTTCATAGTCCTCTGCTCCTTCTGTGTTTTCTTTATTTGTTGTTCTGTATTTCATAATTCCATGTAATGCTCTTTCCAGGTGTTATTTTCCTCCATTTTCAGTTTCTTAAATCCTGTTCTTTGTGCTCCAGACATGTTGTGTTACAATGGTTTCATTAACTTTTCCCAATCTTGTCTTGTTGTGGTTCTTAATAGTTTTATAACTTCTGCTCATCGTTTATTGCAACAAATATAGTAAACCATGTTTCTTCACAACAGAGTTAATGAGTTATTGATGTACTTGTCATTGAGTTGTAAGTGTAAACATGTTTTCAGGGTACACTGAAAGGCCTCCTGCCTGATCAGTTGGAAGCACTGGGCTGCCAGATAATGCTGGGAAACACTTACCATCTGGGAACAAGACCAGTAAGTAGTTAGTTTTGTAGGAAGTTCGAACGGATGTGGTTTCACTGCCGAACGTGACCACTGTCTCCCCATAACTCTGCATGTAAAATTGTCAACCAAAAGTCAGTGTTTCAGATCTGCAACAATGCAATTTTTTGGGAGGCAAAATAGAAATCTGTTTTCTTTCACAAAATAGTTTTGTATTCATTTCTGCTTGACCAGTGGTGGGATGTATGGGAATGGCCACACGTCATGGTGAGATGGTGTAAGAGGCATAACCCAAAGCAGGGGTTTAGTATGAAAGCATTTGACTTACAAGAGAGCATGACACCAATATCACTTCTGACATTATGGATTTGACAGATGGCACACCACTCAATACTTGGCACTCAGCTGTCCAACAAATAAGTATGATTACCTTCATAATCAACACATTATTGTATTAATTGCCAAGTGTGTGATGCCAATTGGAACATTACTGGAGGAATGGTGTTGAAAATATGGCAGTCCCACCATTTAACTCAGCAACAGACTGCTTTCAAATTATTCTTGTGAGCTGTTCTCTCCCAAAAGACCACAAACAGTTGTCCCACGTGATCAGGTTGGGTCTTCTGGTAGGTGAGATGATAGGTCTATTTTGTCCTTTCTACATTGGACATTGTTGAGGGAAGTATGCACACCAGCAGCATAATTTACTGATGCCCTTTAGCCTACAGAAAAAGTCAGTTTGCAGGTCAAATAGGAATTAACTGCCAGTGCACCTCTCTCTGGACCACAAAAAAGTCAGAAGTGTCATAATCATTTGCCGGAACTTAGAAGACCACCCTGATAACCTGATGGAAATATCCAGAGGTTCCATTGTCCCGCCTGAAACTCGACTCAGAGTAGTGCCATCTATTCCAATAGGTCCGATATCACGGTATCACCGGAAAGAGTAACTACAGGCCAGGAGAAGCTGAAGGCTGAATAGTGCTGGCTGCAGTTGAGGGACAAACATGAGCAAACAATCAATAAAATCTTCTCGGGTAATCAGCCGCGTCAACTGTTTACCGTAGTAAACTGACGTTTTGAGAACCAACTCTGTCCCCATCATCAGGGTTACTGATGTGACTATCCAGTCGCCTGTGTATATACCTGCCCGGGACCAGTACTCATGTCCGGCCCAAGGAGCTAGGGGGCGGAGTCAAGCGCTCGGTTTGTTTGGCTCTGCTTACTACCTGGCGTTTCGCCTAAATTCCTGAGCATGTTAGCCACTGGATACCATGCTCAGCTCAAGGTGAAACCTCTGTCCCTGTTAAAGTTATTGGGATGCAGCCGGATCTCTATGGCTTCCTTTACAAGTCGGTTTACTTTCAAATCCTATATGAGCAAACAAGCTTCTTCAAGCTGTACATCAACTAAGAAAGTTTCATAATTTAATTTCCAAACATCACAACACTACTGACCCCAAGTCATTGAAAAGAAGTGAAATTACAGGTCGTCCCAGGAAGGATACACCGCTTTTTGAGCCCTGAAGGAACCTGTCTACTTCAACAGCACAAGAGCATGGGAGATGTTCTTCGTGGACACAAGTGCCAGAAATTTTTTGGGGTTTGCTCTCTCAAGAGCAGGGAGGCAAAGAATAGGCAGAGGTTAACTTTGATAATTCAGTGTCCAAGACAGAAGAATTACTGTGGGAGATACAGGCTATCTTCAAAATAGTACAACACCTCCACAAATCCCTTCATGGTAAAGAGTTCCACCTCTGCACAGACCACTCTGCTTTTACGTGGGTACACAATGTCAAGAATGTGGAATGACAAACAGCTCATTTGTGTCAGCGTCTCCATAAGTACAACTTCAGGATCTAGCGTTGTCCAGGGCGCAAGCACGCCAACTCTGTTGCACTGTAAAGGAGACGTCCAGAAGAATGCACCAATTTCCAGAAGGTCAAGAAGTGGGCAGACAGCCTGAGGGCGAGTCATTGCATCTATCCATGGTTAGGACTATACTGCCCAAAGCGCCATTGGGAGTCGGCGTACAGAGGGATGAATACATCAGAAATGCCCTTTCCCAAAGCACTGTGCAGAAAATACTGACAAAACTCTGAAAAAGACCTTTGGCAGGACACCACAGTGTCATCAAAGCATTTTGTAAAATCAGTCAGTGGTACTGACTGCTGCACTCAAGGAGCAATGTCGAGAGTTGGTGCCAACAGCGCAACAACTGCGCAGCAAACCAGGGTCCCCAAACCAGGAACCCAGTCCTGATGCACCGATACAAGGTCGGAGAACCGTTCGAAAGGTACGCTTTTGACATCACAGGACGATTCCAGACTGCGAGAGCGGGGACCAATATCTCCTCAGATTAACAGCACCCAGATGGTGGAACTGGTTTTGATATGGCATACCTGCATTAAACTTTTGCACCATGAACTCTGGTAGAAGTTTACCTAAATTTCAGAGGTGTTCGCTGCCTGTCAGGCAGTTTGAAGTTATAGTTTTGTTCATTTTAAAGAGCACATCACTAAGGGACCTAAATGAGCTTATTTTGTTTAAGTTTGATAGATGTTGATGGAACATAATGTAAGAAACTTCTGTATGTTTCAGTCAGTTAATTTTAAGGTTCATCTTACTTATAGATATAATAGTATTTTTGGTAGTAACATGTGAAATATTCATCTAAGAGACGTGCTTTTGGATTAAAAGTTGCAGGTAGTAATGAACTTCACATATTATGTTTAAAACATTTGCACAAAGCTCACTAATTTGGAGAAAATCTCGAGCATAATTGGGATACATATTGTGTGTGCACTACTGAAAGTGTTGAACACTCTCTCCAGGCATTGCTCTATTATCTGTTAGGAACCCACTTAATTTACAATGCATCATCTCCTGTTTCCACAGGTTTTAAATTTGGTATTGAACTCTTTTACAAGATTGTTGCACAAAGTATGCGCCAATACGTAGTTAACAGACAAACTTGAGCATTTTCTCATTGCTTGTTTGTAGGGACCTTCTGTAATCATGAAGGCTGGTGGTCTACACAAGTTCATGAATTGGAATAGAGCACTCTTGACCGACTCTGGAGGCTTTCAAATGGTCTCACTGCTAAAGTTGGCAGAAATTACGGAAGAAGGAGTAAAATTTCAATCTCCTTATAACGGTATGTTTTGGTGCAAGTTGATGGCACCTATTATAGTTGTCATGTGTGTCCAATTTAAAGGTCTTTTATCAAATTGCATACAGGACCTCTGTGGAACATTTTGTTTGATTTTGATTATATGCCATCTCACAATGTAGTTTACTGTTCCTGTGATTTAGCATCCTGATGTGTTCACTATGATAGTTCTGTTATACAATTTATTTGTGATTGTAATGTCTTTGGTCTCAAGGAATAAGCATGCCATGTTTGGTGCAGATTGAAAATTCTGTTCTCAAGATATAATGAACATACACTCACACCCACAATTTCAGTTTGATATATAAGATATATTTTAGATTATGATAGTGCATGTGTCATTCTTTGCTGGATCATTGGAAATCTGAAGAATTTCAGTTGCTTTTGCTTGCATGTGGACAAGCAGCCACAAGCAATCATTTAGTTAGATAGGGCATTAGATTACATGAAACACACTACCAGACATTATATATGTCTGAAAATAACCTTATTTAATGTGCAGGCTAAGAAATCAGCTTTAAAACAGAATCAAATCGTACTGTCTGACAAAGATCAGAAAACAAAGAAAACATGAGTTTGAAGGTACGTGCTGTTACTCCCCAATTAAATGTAACATTTGCTATGTGTTTGGTCTAGAAGATCACGTGGTTTGGCAAATGCTGATTGACTTTATGTGGCAGATATTTTGAATAATAGGAGTTCCTGTGATAGTTCTTGTCAGTGATGCAAAGATGTCACCATGTAAGCTGTTGACCTATTTCAGTTTTCATATGCTGGGCTCTTTACAGAAATACAGGATTAATATTTTTCCAAGGTCCCTTTCAGAACTGTCTCATGTTTAGACAAATAATGACTTTTATAGAATGGATTGTGCACTGTGTACAATCTTGACAGTTCCACAAAAAGTAGCTATACAGGGTCCAAGGAATGTTTCACAATCATGTGTCTTGAATGCAAAATTCCAATTTTAAGGTGAACACAGAAAAATTCGTAAATATGCTTTGACTACTTCTGTCTATCAAGACATGTCTTTATAGACAGAAGATGACAGTGGGGTATACTTGATGACCCATCTTTTAAAGGGGCTGACTATAATTTGGTGGTTGCAATACTTAGGGACAGACTGTCAGTAAGTAACTCAGCACCAAAAAAGTTTGATATGCAGAGATTTGATCTCAAAAAGTTAAAAAATATTTTAATTAAACGGCATCAGATCAAAGTATTAATTAAAAGGTATGCAGTTTCAGAAAGCTTGGATGGTAATGTAAACATCAGCAGGCCTTGAGAAAATATTAGAAAGATTATATAACAATTTGTTATCTGAAAAGGGAGGAAATTCATTTTAAAAGTAGCTAAACAAGGTAAATTTCTTCTTTTTCAGGATCAGAAGTTATGTTGACTCCAGAGCGTTCCATTGAGATTCAGAATTCAATAGGTGCTGACATAATTATGCAGCTGGATGATGTAGTGAGAACAACAACAACTGGGCCTCGAGTGGAAGAAGCGATGCTTCGGTTAGTGGTTGGTAGTTTTGAAGGCATGTTAATGTGGTGGTAACATATATGTACTATGCTGCTTTAAAATAATTTTGCATATGAGGTAAAACATATGTAGGAAATGTCCAGTTTTGTTGGGATCTTGTTAGCCTTGAGTTTCATGGTCGTTGTATCTCGAAAGGTAGATTTCATTACGATCGGCAGTATAAGGATAGTTTTGTGTTCATCAGAGGAATCATACCTCAGTTTTCAAATACATTTTATTGCCATGAAGATGAAACTGCAGTTTGTGCACTTATGTTTTCATGCAGATATTTAACAACTCATGTAAGCCTGTTGTGGGCAGTCAGTGGATTAGGTCATCACAGGGATACAGGATGTACTCAACAGAGTGAATTACATGATATTCTCGGTTATTATTTGTAGCAACATAACATTTTAAATGCAGAAATGGCATATATAAAGTTCACAGCACAAAGTCTATACCAAGGGTCACACTGTCAGTGTAAGATAAATTGTGATGATATTAGTTTCTTCACTATCCTTATTGTTTTAAGATGCAATGCACATTCTAAGTTAAATGTTTAAAAGCTTATCGTGGAAGTTTTGAGTTGAATTTTATTAAGTGAACATGTAGCAGAGTAACGTGGAAGTCAAATTCATCCATTCATCCAATGGATCTGCAGCCCATATCGGGTCTAGGCCTCCTCCCATGTGGGAGGTTTCTTTGTCTTTGAAGTGTGCATTTGTGAGTAGTGAGTGATCAGCCCACTGACTCTGCACAATTTCTACTCAATCCTGAATTGACTGCCAGTGCCATCTAGCAGTCAATCAGGAAACTACTTGGGTGAGGAATGGCCGCTGAATTTTGCTTACGAAACATTTCATATCATGCTTGTAAGGTTCTTTTACATGCCGTAAATCTACAACATGGGACCGCCGGCTTTACTTCCCCTCCGAAGGAAGTTGTGCTACCGATTTTTATTACCCTTAAAAATCCATCGACCTCGGGCAGGATTGAACCCGCAAACCTTGGGTCCAGTGGCGAGCGCGCTAACCACTAGTCCACCGAGGGCGATGGACGTCAAATTGGCAATCCCTAATTGGTCAGTCAGATGAGACTTATGCCACTTTTTGACCAAACAGCTTCTTTAAGCTGGGGCAATGACTCCCATCGGTGTTGCGGTGGCAGTTTCATAATTCTGGAACATTTCAAGAAGCTAAATTTTATATTTGGGGATGAGGCAAACAGAGGCACTGTCAGTGGAAATTTCCATAATTCTCAGTTTATAATAATTATCAGTTTATGTAA